CATCTGTTTAGACCAAGCTTAAAATTTTTCTTTAATTTTGATCGACTCTAATTTTAAATTTCGATTAAATTCAGGGTTAAATCAAACTTTCGTTAACCTGCAAACTAAAAAACTAAAGCTTTAGAAACCTAGTGACCTAGAGTGCAATTTCCCCTTTTCTTTTACTTTTAGATTGGTCCCATAAAGCTAGAACCAATCCAAGTTGAGCTTTAAAACCCCACAATTTCTTCTTTCTCTTCCATTATTTCCTCTTTCTTTCTCTCTCTCCTCCAAGTAACTTTCACCTTTTTTCGCTACCATTCATCGGTCCAATGATGACTCTGGCCACGCCATCATTTTTCTATTGTTATCTCATGTCCGTCAATATCGGTTTCACCCTCACTGTCGTCAGAGTATGGAGGGTGAGTAGAAGAAAGTGTCGATAAAGCTTGTACTCGTACTCCATCATCAAACAGCACCGTAAGTGGCACCCCGTAATTTAAAATTTAATTCTACTTATTTTGGTGGCCGGCTGACCGCCATAAAAGGTCATACACGCCCGCACGGGCTGTCGCCATGTGTGGTCTTATTTTTGGTCAGTCGACAAGTTTGACTTTTCCCTTTGACCAGAGCAAGTTGACCCAACTCGATCGAAACTGACCCGATCAGAACCGACCCGAACCAAACCAATCTGAACCGACCCGAGCTGAGTCAAGCCACAAGCCTAAGCCGTTGATCACGTTGACCACCGTTAATCTTGTTGACCTTTCATTGACCAACGTTGATTGATAAGTGCTTGAAATAGACACTTTTTGCTTACTAATTCTTTTGCTTTATGAAATTTTCACTGCTGATTTGGATACATTTTGTTTATTTTCTGTCCAATAACTTGTTTACTGGAATTGGTTCTAAAATGACATATTCTGTATTTTTTTTATTTTCTTGTCGTGATTGGGGACACTGGTACGACAATGGGCACGACGCAGGTCTGACATGGCATTTTTTAGAAGGCTCGAGTCAATGCAAGAATATTCTGGAAATAGCTTAGCACGATTTGTGGAGGCTTTTTAGGGAATTTGGATTTTAATTTTCAAAACTTAAGGAATTATCTTTTAATTTCCTTGTTATCTTTAGGGTTTGAAAGACTATAAATACCCTTCTTAGGGTATGGCTTAGATCATCTTCTTCTTTAACTTTGTTTTTGCTATTTTGCTTTCATTTTAATAAAAGTTTTCTTTTTGTTCCATTTTCGCTTTCTTTTACTTTGTGATTTTTAATTATTTTTGAAAACATGCTAAGTATAATCAATCATATCATGTTTGGTTAATTTCCTTAAAGCCGAGAGCTAGTGCAAATCATTTCCATGAGTGAGAATTAAACATCGCTTAAATCCCTTCAAGACACATTTTCGTCTTTCCGATTAGATAGTTTGGCAATCAGTCTTATTACAATTTTAAATGTTTTTCAAATTAAAAAGAGCTCGTTGGTCTGGATATCGTTTAATATACAGTTGGGATGAATGATTGACATGTGACAATTTGACTTCTTGAGAACACTCTTTGCAGCGATCCGCTAAGAAAAGACGATATCAGATACGATTCTCGACGAGACAATTTCCGAATCGAGCTTTTCCAGTTTTTAATCTAATTGTTTTAATGGCAATAGTTGTGGTTAATTCACTTAAGAATCATCTTTCGAAGATAGATTTAGGAAGATCGGTTACATGAGAGAAAGACAAGTTACAATAGGTTGGACCTTGTAGATTGTAACCAACATGAATCTCGGAGCAAAAATCTATTTTGATGATCGTGGGAATTGAATCAAGCTAGCTCAAGGCAATTTGTTCAACAAGTGATTTCCAATTTTTATTTTCATCCATTCTTCAATTTACCTCTTTTCTTTAATCAATTTTTCTTAGATTACTTCCTTATTCACTTCTTCTCAATCACGCCTACCCCCTATTTATATTTTATTTTGTTACATCTTTTTGGACTAAAATCAACAAAAATCGCATCAGAGATTTCAAAATTTCCATGTAGATCGACCCTTTTTACTATACTGCTTTCAAATCATTTATCTTATTTTATTCTAAAGAGGTTTATTATTTTTGACGAGTAAAACGACGCTTGTCATTGACATTTTCTAGAGACAACATATCCTAAGGTTTTTGATGCCCTGAGTCTGATTTATGGTCCGTTTCACCAAATTCTGACCCGAAAGCCTCTAATCGAGTTGTTTAATTCGAAATTGCTTAGATATTCTAGCTTTTTAGCTTGTTTATTTGCGATTCGAATATAGAGTTGTTTCGATGTTATATTTTCATGAAGGTACTCGTGTTTCCCCCGACTGAGGTTCGATTCAATTCGATGCGACTCGTTGGACCGATCAGTCCGATGCACGTTCTCTGAGAGCTACCCGTAGGTTCCGTAACTTGTTAAATTATGATTTATTATTATTTTTCTATTATTTTAACCTAGTTTTCGATTCGTAGGATCTAGTGCTGCTGTCGACCGTCCTAGGTAGATCCGTTAGTGGATTTTCATACCATACTACTCAGACTGGTTCAAGTGTGTTCATATAATGTTACAATTCCTTTTGAAATTGTTTGACTAATCGGATTTGAATTTTCTAATGATATTAAATATTTTGAATTGCATGACATCTGTTTAAAATGCATGTTTTGACTTCTGATATCTGATTTCTGAATATTCTGATATGATCTCTGGTTACAACATTTCTTGCTTAGATATTCTAGTTTTTTAGCTTGTTTATTTGCGATTCGAATATAGAATTGATTCGATGTTATATTTTCATGAAGGTACTCATGTTTCCCCCGACTGAGGTTCGATTCAATTCGGTACGACTCGTACGACCGATCAGTCCGATGCACGTTCTCTGAAAGCTACTCGTAGGTTCCGTAACTTGTTAAATTATGATTTATTATTATTTTGCCAGGATTTTGACCTAGTTTCCGATTCATAGGATCTAGCGATGCCGTTGACCATCCTAGGCAGATCTGCTAGTGGATTTCCATACCATACTACTTAGATTGGTTCAGCTGTGTTCATATAGTGTTATAATTCCTTTTTAAACTGTTTGACTAAACGAATTTTAATTTTCTAATGATATTAAATATTTTGAATTGCATGACATCTGTTTAAAATGCATGTTTTGACTTTTGATATCTCTGAATATTCTGATATGGTCTCTGGTTACAATATTTCTTGGTCTGATTCTGAAAATTGGCATGTGTTAATGTTTTACAAATGATTTTTTGTTTTTACTTTCGTTGGGGGAAATATGTTTGGAGGAAGTGTTCAAGCATAGACTTTTTACTACTAAGACCTTACCTCAGACACCTCTTCTTTGTGCACAGACTAAGACCTTATCGCAAGTCCTTATACTTTTAGTATAGGGTCTTTCTGGGCGTGTTGGTGGGTGTATGATTCTGAAGAATCTATACACTTTTGGTGTTCGAATGGGATAGTGCCCATAACTTTAAAAGTTTGTTTTTTAATTAAATCATACTGAAATATTTATCTGAACTTCTGTAAACACCGCAAGGAGTACACTGAGCATTTTAACTCACTCTTTTAAATTTTAACTTTTCAGATACACTCCGACAATAGGCTAGTAAATTTGGCATCAAAAGGATCCACTTTTCTCTATTTTGTTTCACGTATATTATTGTACACCACTTTTGATATTTATATTGGTGATATGCATTTTACTACTGTCATTGTATACTGTTTTATCGGTATTTTGTATTTCCAATGATGAAAACCTTATCCGATCATTATTTGAATATTTGGGTGACTATTCCTACTCAAACTTTTACATGAACTTATATATTAACCTATGGATTTTCTGGTGGTTTTTCGCACCACTTCGTTATCTGTATTTTATTATCCGAAATGTATTTTTAATGTGTTTTAATTATGAAAAGAGATATGTATCTAATAGGTGATCGTTTAGACTTGGTCAAAACGCCTAGGCCGGGTCTAGAAGTTACTAAAATGCAAACGCCCTAAAAGTTTGAGGACTATTTATATACTTTACCTATTATATGTAATCTCTTTTAAGTACCTCAACTATTTTTTGGTCATAATAAGTCCCTAAACTATATTTTTTATTTTAAATCCTTAAAATATTTTTTATCAAAACAAGTATCTAATTTTGTATGACGTGTCAATATCTTATTGATTGAAAAATATTTTTTAACTGAAAAATATTATGATTTAAAATAATCAAATATGATAATTTAAGTGACTAATTTGACTAAAATATCATTCAAGTACCTAAAGCAAAAAAATAATATTGTTTAACTACTTATTTAAAATTTATAACAACTTTTAGTAATATCAACTCAATGATTGGAAGTAAAGTATAATGTACCTATTATTATAAAAATGTATTTTTGATATATTTACAATCAACTCTTATGAAAATAGAGAAATAAGCCCGGTCCCCGATTTGTCATTTATAAAATCTGTAATTTCTACGAAAGATATCACATGTCCACTTGGTCCACTTGGAGGTAGAATTTAATTTATTTTCCTATTTTTTTGTAATTTTTTGTGTTTTTATTTTTGTTTTTATGCTTTTTTTCATAGAAAAATTTTCTTCCAATTTTCCCAAGAGAAAAGTACAAGCATTAATTGCAATTGTATTTTTTTAGTTCCTCACACTGATTCTAAGATTGCATTGTCTGAATCATTGGTGCAGCCATTGCAGAAGTATCTGAGGTTAGATTCCGGTCTGGGTTTTGTTTGGTTGCCAAAAAAAACCTGGTTATGCTTATGCTTATGCTTCATATCATTTATCCATAAAACAAAGGAGTAAAAAAGAAGAAGAAAAGAAAATTGTGCTTTAGAAGTGTTTAGTCTCTTTATTGCTGTTCTTAGAAAAGAAAAGAAATGAATGTTGGTTTTCCTTCTTCTTCTTCTTCTTTTTTTGTGTGGTTATTTTGTTCTAATTTTATAGTGATTCAGCTTTGAATTTGGTCAAAAGTTGTGAACTTTAAGAAGTTTTTCAAGTTTATGTGACTGAAGATAATGGTTTCTGTTGATGGGAACAAAAGGGTTTCGTCGGCCGTGAGCGGTTTGCCGCTTCTGATTTGGACGGAGAGTCGCGGTCTGTGAGTGAATGACCATCTTGTTAGTGTTTTAGTGTTGCATAGGGCTGATAGGAAGGAGGGGGGCCATTGTAGGAGGTGCCAGCCCCTTTCTCGGCTGTGTGAGTGGTATGGTTATTATGATTATTCGTAGGTCGATAGAATATCCGGATCTGCTGGTCACACCTTAGATTCATTTTGACAGGTCTCGTGGATCCGTTAGAGGTCTTACCTATGCGTCGTGACTGATTTAATAGCTTCTGCCTTAAGGAACCGGATTCTCTGCAGGCTCCGATAAGCGGAAGCATAAAGCTGAAACGACTTAGGGGGTCGATGTAGATCATCATCATCATACATTACTTGCAGATGTCGATGGTTATATTTTTTCTGATGGACAAGTTTGGTGCTTTACAGTGGCTCGGTGGAGTTCCGACTTGTGTTTAGGCATTTGAGCCGGTGATGACTTGTTGTTGGTATTTATTTTCGCGAAGGAACACAGCTTCCCCACCCGAAGATAGAATCGAAATCGATGAAGGCATGCTGCTAACCTTGTTTAATGTTCTGTCTTGGCTAAGGATACTGTATCGAGTGATGTTTATAAGACTTCGACATAATTCTGGTGCTGAAAGTTCCTATTTCATACTTGTTTTACAGAGGTTTCAGGCATTCAGAACACTAAGCTGTTTCCTTACAAGGAGCTGAAAATGGTGACTGGAAATTTTCATCATTCCAATAAAATCGGAGAGGGAGGTTTCGGTATCGTCTACAAGGTGATTTCAAATTTTGTTTCTAGTTCCAATCTTAGCATCCGATGCTAACTTCTTACCGATCGAGTCCTGTTCGAACAGGGAACTTTCGAAGACGGTACCATGGCTGCTATAAAGGTTCTGTCCGCTGACTCGAGGCAAGGGGTGCGAGAGTTCTTGACCGAAATAGATGTTATTGCCGATATAGAGCACGAAAATCTGGTTAAGCTGCAGGGTTGCTGCGTTGAAGGAAATCACAGAATCTTGGTCTATGGCTATCTTGAGAATAACAGCCTCGCACAAACTCTTCTCGGTAAGACGGTTCCAGATTCGTGTTTGTTAACTGCTCAAACGATGATGAGCTAAGGCCTCTTTTCCGTCTAGGCGGAGGCCATAGCAGTATGGTGTTCAGCTGGTGTACGAGACGTAAAATCTGCATCGGTATTGCGAAGGGGCTTGCTTTTCTTCACGAGGAAGTTCGGCCTTATATTGTTCATAGAGACATCAAAGCCAGCAATATCCTCCTAGACAGGAACCTCATGCCAAAAATTTCGGATTTCGGCCTAGCGAAGCTCTTCCCCGACAACGCGACTCATGTTAGCACACGTGTTGCCGGAACTACGTAAGTTCTTAAACCGTGGGAACATGTCCATATCCGACACTCTTACTTGAATTCGAGTAACATAGATTAGAGCCGTCAAAATCTGATTGTGTACCATATTTGTGGTTTATATAGAGGTTACCTAGCACCCGAGTATGCCGTACGAGGTCAGCTGACGAGGAAAGCCGATATTTACAGTTTCGGTGTTTTGCTAATGGAGATTGTGAGCGGTAGATGCAACACGAACAGGAGATTGCCTCTGACGGATCAATATCTACTTGAAAGGGTATGGATTTTGCATATGTTCTAGTTGTAGCCTTTATTGTTATGGTCTTCTGAGATTACCTCTGCAGGCCTGGGGCCTGTATGAACAAGGACGACTTGTGGAATTAGTCGATACGTCGTTGAGCGGAGACTATGACGCTGAAGAAGCTCGGAAGTTCCTAAAGATCGGCTTACTTTGCACGCAAGACGTGCCGAAGCAAAGACCATTAATGTCTGAAGTGGTGAAGATGCTAACCGGTGAGGAACCGGTGGATGACCGGAATATATCAAGACCTGGCCTGCTTTCGGAGTTCATGAATCCAAGAGCTCACAAAGAGAAGTCCGACGTGATTACGGAAAGCACAGGCAAAGAAGGAAATGCATCATCGTCATCGGAAAATCTTACCATGTCATATGCTACGATGACATTCAACTCGATATACGACCGAAGCGGTTAGGTTGGTGTGATTAACTTTTTGGAATTCTATAGCTATTGGCTAGTGCTCTGAATTTTGTTCGCTGGCTTCGGAAATCGCCTACCGAACTATACAATGCTCATCCATGAATCAAATATAGATGCCATATATTGGTGGACTGAGTTCGAACCTACGACGAGTCAGTTAACAGTCGAGCGTTCTACTGTTGAGTTATTGAAGAATTACGAGAGATTAGATTTCATAGAGTTCAATTCCCGTTTTTAATCCATGACCAATGTGAACTCGAAATTTCCTTCCCAGCACCCGAAAATTCTTCGTAATAGCTCCGTTCCATGCCGCATTTCATAAAAACCTTAAAATGGCTATATCTTATTACATATTCCATCTAGATCTCAATCTCATTTTCATATTATCATTCACATGATGCAAGAGATGTTGATTCCTCCCTCGTGTTATTATTCTCTTCAAGTAGAAGTGTAAATGAATCCTAAGTCAACAAATAAGATTAGATTCGTGTTTGGTATGCTTGATTAATGTTTGTTTAAATTTCAATATTGTGTTCATTTGTTTATTTTTTAAAAATATTCCTATTCTATTTATTTAATGTTAAAGAATCTATTCGTTTTGAGTGATCTATGTGGTAAAAGAATTGTTGTTATTTCTTGAGACCTGGGTTCAAACATCATAAATGTCACGGGTGTGAGCATTTATTGTCGAAAAGTTGATGATTATCTATGTACAAATATTGTCTTATACTTACCCTAGATTAATAAAAAAAAGTTAAAGAATCTACTCATTTAATGTTGGTGAATAAATTTGTAAAATTAAACTATTGGCCCTTAAACTTCTTAAGCTTCACATGTGAACTCCAAAATTCACTTTGTGTTCAATTTAACATCTACTTTTACTAATATTTAAAAACTCCCAACTTCAAGAACTAAGTTGTACACTTGAGACATCTCAATGTTGGTGTTTCCGGGTAGTGTTTTATATATATATATATGAACTATAATCTACTTATGATATGTAAAATTAATAAGTTTAATATCAATTAATAATTATTAAATTTAAATAAATAAATGATTTATATTTAATTAAATATATAACCCATATATATATATATATATCAGCACAAACCAGATTCAACGTCAAAAGATTGATAGTTTATTTTTTAACAGAAATTACCTTGTACTTACCCTAATTAATCAAAAGGATTGAATCCATTTACACTATACAAAAAAATCTTTTATTTTTTTATTTTTAAAATCCAAGTTCAACGTCAAAAGGTTCGGGTTTTAATTTTCTTATATTTTTTCTTTTTAAAATCCAAGGAAAATTAAGAATTTGGGTAACACGAGAATAAAATATTTATTACTTCTACATAAAACTTACATAATGGAGCTATTTAACCTCTGGATATTATAGATAAACTGATTTAACACATCACCAAACAATAAATCCGAAATAGCCACTTTGAAAGGCAGTGTCTAAGGGAAAGAGTTTCTCAAGTTCATAGATGGGATAAACCACGAAATCTCACAGACAAATGGCTCACCTACGACCAGCCGAAGTAGTAATCGAGAACGTAAACGAGCGCTAACGAAAATGGATAAAGAATGTATGCGATCGAACATGTCCAGAGCGGGAAAGTGGTTCGGAAACTAGCGAAGGTTCCCATGACTATGCAAACGATGAGAATGACCAGCACTTCGGATGAGAAGTTCCATGTCAGTCCCCGGACGTAAACAAGTGCCAAGAAAACCGACAGGCAGAGGACGTTATTCATGGTTACCGCTCCATAAAGCTGCATCGAGAAACTCGGAGGTGAGGATTCATAGGCTAGCTTGATGATCAAATAAGTGGGGTAACAGGAATACTTACCTCGGAAAATGTTAATGATGCAGTCCTCTGCTTCTTGCGGGTGGCGAAGATAATGGCTGATACGGCTTCACTAGAGTTGGTAGCCAATGGCAATGCGATGAATGAGATGAAGAATGACGGAATACTTGTAGCGTCGGAGAAGTTATCGACCGCATCTACGAGTGGATCTGCAAATGCAGCTGCAATCAAGGTACCTAGCAGTAACATTAGTACTGCTTTGAAGGAGATACACTTTGGGTTTTCGACATGTTCAACAACCTCATCACTTTGTTCCTCGGACCCCAACAAAGCATGTTCTCTCTTGGTTTCCTGAAGATTAGCAGGATGATTCAAAGAATTCAGTTTGAGTTGGTTATAAATATAATCTCTCGAGAAGTCGTTAATGCTTTACTTACCTGGTGAAATCGGTCAATAAACTTAAACGTTCCGGCAGTAGGTTCAAGATAAGCACCCCCAGTTTGCTTTGCCTCATTAATCCACTTCGTGATTCCTCTTACAAACTCATCCTCTTGAACAATGGAATCAAGGGAAGTATCGAAATCCGCCATTACTTTCCTCACAGCATCATCCTTATCCAAGTCTATCTCTTCAAACCGGATTCCTAAAACCAATGCTTTCAGTTCAGAATGTGAAAGACCACGGTCGCGATCCTCATCGATTGCATCGAACAACCTGTTTGATGTCGTTTAGAGAACCGGTAAATGTTAAGCGTACATGAAAACAGAAGGAATTCAAAACTAACTTTCTTATAATCTCTGTATTCGGTTCACCGTCCTCTGTAAGAAGCTTTCCAAACGCTTGTTTTTTCAAGTGTCTTAATATTCCTGATATGACATGTTTGTGCTTCACAAAAGCTAGTCGTCGTCTCTGAATCCATGGCTGAAAGACCTGCAAATTACATATATCATAAGATACAACTATTAGATGAGTAAAAGTTTCGTGAAGTTACTCGTGTTTGACACCCGTGTTTAACGTATATCCGAACATAAGTACGAGGATATGATTCTACAAGGACTCTTGAAATACATCGAAATCTTGAAAAATTTTAACATGAAGTTGTAAATCAATAAACTATTGAAGCATATAATGATGGAATCCTTCCTGGAAAATATTACTACCTGATAAGCACAATAAGAAACCAACATAGACACGGATACAATAAGTGCAATCAGAACAGCTAAATGTCTTCCTGAAGTTGAATTGAGAGCTTGTGGCAGTTGAACAATAACAAATGGGATAACAGATATAGCCATTATCCTTGCAGCATAGCAAGTCCAAATATCTGTACTAACACCACTCTCTGCAATATTGAACACACTTTAGATTAACAAATATTCTGCTATTGAAGGTCAGTCACCCCTAGTTTTCCAACCCAACTCATGAAGTTATTTTCTCTAATGTTACTCCAATTTTTCATTTTTCTCTAGGTGCCCATTTTGGACACATAAGGACGCGTTTATACTGAATTACGGATACAACACACTGTTGTATCCGACAGTTACACTCAAATCAGTAATACAAAACAAGGTTATATGGACTTGTTGACTGCATAATGCATGTATCAGACACTTAGCAAAAATTGAGCATGCCGGAGTCGCACACATGCCCGTATCAACACTTATCCCCGATCCCGAGTCCATTACATAGATAATAACAATACCTCAACTTGCCACAGTTAACTAACTGTGAATCATGCAAAGCAGAGTTGTGCACCTGTTAGATGAAATCCTTTGGTATTAGTTCCATCAACTGCAAATGAGTCACGAATATCGCACCGGCCAACAACAACACAGGATCCCCATATCACAGTGAGAAGCATGACAGTGGACCCTGCTAGCAGTCCCATCCCAACAGAGACCTGATCCTGAGCAGTTTCTGAGGTTCCAGAAAGTCCAGATACTGGAAACAACAAACCAAATTAAAAACCATTCTGGATTTAAGTAAAAGTAGTAAGTAAATGAGGCCAGAAGATCATTTAAAGGAACTGATTGTCCCTATATCATGAAAGAAGAAAACATGTTAAGGATCTCCTTTGATTTTTGTTTCTTAATTCCCCCCCTCAATTAATGTAACTGTTGTATAGAAATTAGTAGTGTGATTGTTACTATGTTGTTAGCTCATTTTAGTTAGCAGTAATAGAATGCTTGTTTTTTTTATCCAAAATAGAATGCTTGTTAAGGGGAATGGAAAGTAAAACAAATCTTTTTTTCTCCTCATATATTATCTACTTTCTTTCTAGAAAAATGTAACTGACAAAATTAATAATATATCACTTTTTTATATAATCATCGGTATTCAACTTATTAACCAATTGATCCAAATTAGATATTATAAAGATCAATCACGAAAACGACATTCTTAACCTAATTTACTCCATTCACAAAATCAAAACTCAAACTTATAACCTTACTTAAAAGTTTCACTAGACCAACCATTAGCTGGTCATCATTGTATCTTTGATTGGCGAGGTTAAAATCTTGTTGGAGTTTACATCAAACCCCATTTTTTTATATTTATTATTATTTTTGGATAAAATCCAATTCTTGACAGAGTCAAAAAAAAAAGGGTTGCTAAAAGTCTCTTACAAGAGACATTTGGCAATGGCAGGGAATTAGTAGGTATCAATGATTTTATAAATAACACCCCAAAAATAACAATGATCTTCCATATTTTCTGAATTTCTGTGAACGTTAAACTTTGAATCTTTACTTTTAACTAAACTAAAGATCTGGGCATTTCCAGATTCCTTTCAAAGGAAAAAGACAAGATCCAGAGTCTATGATTCCATTTTCTGATCAATCAACCAAAGGAAACTAAAGCTATAACATCACTAATATATTTTCTCGCCAATCAAACAACATAACAAAATACTCAAATGAAAAGACAAAAAAAAATCGAAGTTACCGAGAATAAGCATTGCATCAGGAAGAGCTCCGAGGATCGGCAAGAACAATCCTCCGACGATCCCGGGACCGAGGATCTCAAGCAGAAGCTCACTTCCACTAGACAAGTAAGTAGCAGCTAAAAACATGAGGTATCCATAAACGATGATCAAAAACAAGTTCCCAACCACCGTGGTGGTACAGGGTAAGAACCCATAGGTTTGTTCACACGTTTCCTCCGCCGCAACTAGAGGTTTGAGGAGGAGATACGGTGGGGTTTTGACAGTGGAGATCCCATCGGAAACGAGATCGGTTGGCGATGAACGGCCGGTGATGAAGCGGGCGTTGGATGGGAAGGAAGAGAAGTAGAAGAGGAAGATGAAAAGGAGCAGTAAACGTTGTGCAGCCATGAAATTCTATGATGGCATGGAAATGGTTTACGAAAACTTTTAGAGGAAAATGGAAAGTTTTATATAGGACTAATATAAAAATAAATATTTAAATTATATTTGAAATTTATTTTTGATTCAAACAATTTTTTTTGTTGAGCACTTAATATTTTCTTTGTTACTTATAATTATAAAATTCATTAAGTGATACATGTCACGTTTAGATTTTAAATAAAATATTTTATTTTTAAAAATATAAATATGACACATGTCAGTAAACAAAT